TCTCTGTAAATTCTCGTTCACCTCGCAGCATCTCATGAGTGTCTTATTAACAGGATATTCTCCTTTCACTCTTCATTTAATCTATTCGCAACAACAAACCGAAATTCCATGTCCTCAGATGTATTTCACATATGCTCGTTTTAAAAACTCTCTTTGCTCCAGATTTCCCGCCTAATTTCTCGAATTACATAACAGATATTCCATTAAAATCACTCTGATTTACGGTACACCCCCGTTTCACGTCCAACCTTCATTTCTCCTAAAAAGAGAAGATTCTACACGACAATCAATTCTGAATATTTCGGTCGATAGATTCTAATACCCGGCTCGTCTCACCCAATGATCTCGCTCGGTGCGAAATTCTAATACTTAGACCCTTAATCTCTTCCGTCGTCAAGTTCTTTATTAATTCAGCGCCATTTTCCTTTTACCGTAAACTGCTCGAAACAGCCGGAAGCAACGGCGTCGAGATAATGACGAAAATTCACTGTTTCAAGTTCGCGCGGCGCGAGGAGCCGAAAGCATGCGATTCTACCGGACGGAAACCTTATTTTTCTGTTGCTCACAGAACAGGCACGTTTCTCCCCTATTTCTTTTTTCTATTCACGTCGACCGCGTGGTTCACGCATCGTTCCGCATAGTTTCCCTCCCGAAAAGTGTTCCGAAGTACCGGAAAACCATCCGGGTGGATCGCGGAAATTTCTCGCCTCGAATCCACGTAGCCGGAACGGGGCGAAACGCGTGTAAAAGGTTTACGAGGACTTTAACAGGCGCTCGCGATTGCCGGTGTAAAGTACGGCGGACGCATTAACGCCGCGGAGAACGTAACTCGTCAGACCCTACCAGCCTCGCACCACTCCTCCCTCCGTCTCCTATCATCCCCTTCGTTCTGCACCTGGTTATTCGGATTAAAATCCGAATTTCGGTACGGATAACTCGCGTTTGCGCCACAGGCTCAACGGATTTCTTGGTCGGAAACTCGTTACCGAGGTACATACAAATTTCTGCTTTTGAAGTTAAGAGAATCTTACGGTTTAGGCTGTTTCGGAAATATGGAAAGTCAAACAATTCATTCTTTTTTTTGCATTTCTTCGTTCTTTATATCGTTAAGTACACTCAATTTTGTTTTTACACGATTTTGATTTATTTATGCGAGTTACAATGTTCTTCCCTTTTCACACGATGTTTTTGACTTCACACGAATTAAAAAAGAATTTATTTTCATTTTTCACGAGTCGCTTTGATTTCACACGATCGCCTAAATTCTAACACGAATATTCATGTTATGGCAACAATTTATTGTTCAATTAAATGAAATTCAAACGAAACGATGACAAAAACCTCAACCAATTAGTTACGTGCATCTTTAGTGGTATAATAACTTATTAAAAATGCTAGAAGTCAGCGGTGTGCAATTACAATCAAAATTTTGATTTGCATATATACGGTAAAACAGCGTAACAGTAAAGAAAAAAGTATAGTAGAAAATCGATATCATACATTTTTAATTATCATCATTTTATTGCAAATCTTATCTTTAAACATCCTGCTCCAAATTATCCGTCTATTCATTTTAGATAATCCAACGCTGTGTGGCTGTTTGTCCTACTTACTTTTGCAGAAGGAACAATTATTATAAATTTGGTAAAAAACACACTTCTTCAATTGAAATAACTTCGAAATGTATCTACATGACTTTTCGATTCTCCTAGATAGACATATCTATCTGAACAATATTGAGAATAACCTACGTGACGTTTGGATGCATTCGGAATTATTATGATTGACAGGGGATCATTAATGCAACTGAATAATCAATCAAATAACGCCAGGTAACACTGATACGTCTTTCAAGGGTTTATCCAGTTGCATCTACCTATGATTATTAAATTATCTGGTCAAACGTCCGGATATCGGATGTAGGATTATGTTGGCTGCTGCAACTGGGAATTCGAGGCTTAAATTGATGATGGGCTTAGATTCAACGTACAGAGAGATTCATAGACATAGAATCGTGACAGTATATTCTAATTAATTTTTCAAATTTAATTTGATTTGCTTCGTGTTTATAAACGCGAATGGTTCTTTCTATGCGAAAATAATTGCAGGCGTGGGATAATTATAACACTTTTTAAAATTATTTCTTCTTAATCAGTTTTCATAAATTCTATTTTTCGATAATTTGACTTATCACTGTACGCTGTATTTCGTTGTGGCGAAAATAGTTTTCCTTGCAATTCTTTTCTGACTGAGTAGCCTTTGAAACTGAGTGATTGACTCAACCAAAACTTTATTTCAATAATACAGCCCTGCCTTGTCAATTTACAGACAGCAATATTCCAAATCCAAGTACCAGCATTCAGAATCCGAAATTAAAATTATACCTGTATCTGTTAATCTACTTTGCACGCCGCGTTTCTAAAATATTACGATGACGTTGAAGTTAATGTTTACAACCGGACTGTAAACGTTATCGATGCACCTACACGGAACGAACGGATATCACGAAGTGCAATTGGTTCGTTTCATTCACGGTGGAGGATTAATCACGGTTTCGCGAGCCGACAAGGAGATTGGTTTACAACGGATGAAAGTTATAACGCTTCGCGCGGAATGCGACAGCGCGCCTGGAAAGGAATATCGCGCAAGGTATGGCCAACAAATATTGCAACAATTTACTATCTTCCAGGTACAATTTTTCTAACCCGTTTCATCCTCACCGAGGCGTGAATATTTTCAACGTTGGTCCGTGCACGCATTCCGGGTTAATTGGAAAATGCGTTCTCTTCCCTTTTTCCGCCCTCTTCCATTCGAACTGTCTGCAAAAATCGCAGCCGGACCGAATTCCGCGAATCATTCCCGCTCGTTTCTCTGTTTCACTCAGTCTTTCTCAATATATCTCTTTTTTTTCATTCAACCTTCATTCTAGGGAAAAGAATTTCGTTTCTGTTTTAATACGAACGGACCGACGTAACGAGACAGTTATTATTCTGCGCGCGGCCGCCGAAATATATTATATACTCGGGACGAAAGATCCGTAGGAGATCGTGAAAATGGCTGGATCAGCGGTTTTTCGAAGCGAGCTGGAAAAAAAAGAGATGTATTTTCTCGCTAGCCCAGGAAACGTCTTTTTCCCGGGGACGAAGGCGCCTGGGATGGTACATACTGGTTACCGTGGGGGTACGGTAAAGCTATAAACTCCATAAAGTACGGAACGCTGACTCAATTTTCGCGCAGGGAACTCGACTTTCCCTATGCACAAAGGGAACACTCCTGGGCGCATTAAGTTCAATCGTATTCCTGCCGGAAATGTTTGAATCACACGATTATGACGCACTTTTGAAAATTCCTGAACATTCAAGCGCGGAGAATCCTTTTGGGATTTTTGGGAGTGTCCCCGGGGGCAAATTGTTCTTTTCAGTGTGAAAAATTGTAGCGCAATTGAACGGGAATATGCGGGATGGCAGGAAAACCGGTGGTCGAAGTTTGGTAGCGTGTTCCAATTTTTCAAAGAATGAAAGTAGGTTGTACGGGATAAGCCAGGGGAAAGTAACTATTTTAAGAATGTATTAAGCGTGAAAATGATATGTAAGGTGAAAAATAGAATATTAACATATTTAACAAGTTACAAAGAACACATAAGGAATGAACCTCGATTTCTCGAGCGTTCATGTAAAGCGACGCTTATCTTGTAAGTATGGTATTGACATGTTTGTCTTAGATTATGAAGTTAGTAATTACTTTTTTCTTTTGAAAATCATGTCATCCGGAAGCCGGTAATTTTTGTTTTCATACGTTGTTGTAGTTATTAAAAGAATTTTAAGCCATGCATTAATTGCTGCGTAGAAAAGAGATTGTAGTTGATTGCTTAAACCTGACCATAGTCTGTTTTATCCTTTGAGTGCTAAATACTCTTAGCCGAAACGTTGGATGTGAACTGAATATTTGTTTGCTCATCTGAAGATCGATGGATTATGTTAATCGGTACAATTAATTAAGTTATAATTAAATTGAAATTGTAATTCTTCAGTTTCACCGACTTGAATGATCACAGGACTCAAAAGGTTAAGAGCTTTCACTACGCAAAAGTAATTTCGCAGTACATTCCTCATGTATTTTTGCATGTCGGTTGCGTTTAAAACATCATCGTTTAGCAAAATCATGATCCCTAAGAAAATTTTCATTCCATTTGTAAGAAACAATACTTGTTTAAGGGAATAATAGATTTCTTATTTGCAAGCTCAACATATAAGACCTCAAAAACTGATTATCTATTTTTCGAAGCGCTTCTACATTTATCAACTAAATATAAATTTCATTTATTACAGTTGATTTACACAAGGAAAGGAAAATATGCTGGACAAATGATCCATGTTATTAATCAAATCTTTTACAAGAAGGAAACCGTACCACTAGTTCTGATACAATAAATAAGACAAGTGTCTCGAGGACCGCAAGAAAAACAGGGAAGTGGTTTCCGCTGGGCTGAAAATACATCGCGTACCTTCTCGAAGCGTTCCATTTCAGTCGGTAGCTATAATTCATCGGTTTCGGAGTGTCCACGCCTAACGCAACCGTTTTAACTTGTAATAACTGTCTTCTAACAACAATTCAAACTTCCGATAAAAAGATAATATCCTCTCTAATAAAATGAAAGCTGTCGTTCGTATTTCGTTATAAAAATATCGTTCCTATAGCAAATACAATAACAAGTAACAGATGAATACGATTACTTGTGGTACAGAAAAACATAAATATTCTTTCTGCGTTGGAAAATTCTTAACGATAAAGTGACTTCTGTTCGTTTAACCGTGAAGAACATATTCTAGATCGAACGATTGATATTTTTCCAGCTTTTTTTTTTAAATTTCGTGCACCATTTTCTTCTGGGAGTACAGAGTAAGACGATAAATCATTGCATGCAGTGAATCGCAGTTTTAAGTTCTAAGGGATGCAGTGCTCGTCGCGAGGATACGGGTCCATTCTTTTCTACAACATACCTTCAACGAAGAGGAAATATCCTTCGGGATTCTTCGCCAGTACACGAAGCGCCTTTATAGTCATTTCAGCGAGAGAAGGGTCGCCGGACCCGTTCGTGTTTCGGTCGACGTCGAAGTCCATATGGGAATAGGAAAACAGTCCTGAAATCATCGAGCGACGTTGAAACGGTGAGCCACGAAACTTTCAGTTGGATAACTTTTATCGATTCCCGTCTCCCATCCCTGATCGAGTTCCGCCACGCTCGAATCGCATCGTAAGTGAATTACGAAGAATATTTCAGGACGGAATATTCTAATGATTTTGGCTAACGCGATTCTAAAGCTGCGTTTACAGCGCAGCTGCGATACAGTGGGGCCTCGAGTTATCTCCTCCCAATTTACGTCGTTTCAAAGTTACGTCGTCTCTACGCAGCGCGGTAGTCAAGTGCGTTTGACCAATATTTCTCGCTCTACGTGTTTAGTAGTATTGCCAATGATCATGGGCAGCTATGATACAACTTGATCTAATCGTACCGTTGATCGCTAGTACGAATCAAGTCTAAATATTGAAAGAAAACATTGACTCTCTAAAAAAAGAAAAAATTCTTAATTTTAACAGTTCGAGGAAACTAATGCTGAAGACCTTCGTGTGGCCTTCAATTAGCGAATGTTTCAATGACTAAATTACAGACCGTTAGAATTCCTTATCATCTAGTTCTAAAGGGAATCGATGGTTCTATAATAATCGATAGTATGTACGTAATCTCTAATTCGAACGTCACGCCGATCATAATTAGGGCAATCTAACTAAGAGCTAATTGTATTCAAGGATTAACGCAATCATATGCAGTGAATAATTGTCGAACGTCATGGTGCACAAACTAGATTATTTAATCCGTGTTATAACTAGATAATCTGTATCATTATTATTTATAAACAAGCATTTATTGACATCGCACTATTATTAAGTGTGTTCAATTGAATAACTTCGTTAATGGAATAGAAAAGAATATGCAGTGTGTTATTAGAATTTTAATACGATAGCTACTATTTCGAGATTAGTTTATCATTTATATTTATCATTATTTGAATATCAGATTAACTGTACACGCTTATATATTACAGTTTCAATATTTATTTAATCGTGCAGATTCATTATATTTGTTCAGCAGATGAGTAGTTACCCACAAATGCTTTATAGCAAACAGAACTGTGTACTCATACGGGGCGGTTCGGTTCATTTGAAACGATAATCACATATCTTTGAGAGATGCGTACTCGCGTTAAAATCATTATTTAATCTTCTACACTACTTTCACAAAAATATCTGAGGGTTATTTTAATTTCTTTAATCTTTATTATTATTACAATTTTTGCATGGCCAAAGGAATTTTTATTATTTCGTGGTATTAAATTCAATAATAAGGAAATTCATTTTAAATACAAGAAGGTAAGACAATAAAGTATTTGAGAATTAAAAAAGTTGACCGAATTGACCAATGAGAGGCGTATTTATCAACGTTTACTTCGGTTAGAATTTACGTTTAGTTATTCACTTTAACTTATTTTTCTCCGAAAGTGAAACAATTCTGGAAGTGTAAGGGTTAAAAGATAAAAAAAAGGCAATCCAATTCTCGTTTCTCAAGGATGAATCGTCAAACATTCCGGAAAACTTTATCGCGCGCCGTTTGGGACACTCCGGCATTTGACCGCTTTGCGGGTTACGCCCGCGTTCGAGGATAATGAACACGACGGTAGAAAAGAAGAACGTATATCTGCTCCTTACCGAGTAGATGGTTCACTTTCCGAGGATCGACGTTCACGAACTGCTCCTTGTTAGCGACGTATTTCGCGGCCACGTTCCGCAACCGGTGGTTCCTGGACCATTCCTCGATCAGATTCCTCCCGTCCAATCGTCGGCCGTCTTTCTCCGGTTCCTCAGGGTCCTGGACCACTTTCGGCACGAAATGACGCCTGCCTCCGCCGAGGATCACCTGGAACGATCGGTAACTTTATTCGCGAGTATTTTATCTCCTCGGATGAAACTGGATTTCGAGTAATAAAGTTGGATAATTGGCAAGCGTTTGAGGATGAATCGATTTTAGATACGGATTGGATTCGACGAATTAATCTCCGGCTCTCTCTAAAAGAACGGAAAATCAATTCGATGTCGCAATCCTCTGGTTAGTTTCTCTATTTAAATTGCTGACAATGTTTTGAAATTATTTCATTTCATTTAGGAAGTGACACATTCTCCTCGCGAGTCTTCTGAGACTTTTACTAACGCATGTTGAATTTTGGTAGAGAAGATAGAATCTTCGTGATTTGACCCCTTATGCTATTATATGGTGTCAGACTCGTCATGAAAATTTTAAACTAAATTTCATTTACTTTTTATAGTAAAAATATTACTTCTCTATTTTAAATCGTTAACCCATGGAGTAAACGTAGATATAGAACTTCTTTGTTTCATATATTATTAACGATGAAGTAGTGTTATGAAGCACAGTTATGAAAAAAATCATGGACTAAGGAGTTAATTCTTAGTATCATGATTTTCTTATTAGGTTTACAAAAATTACTATCCATGTATTTTCGTCCATACGTTACTGAAAAAATAAGAAAAAATTTCATAGTGTAACAATTTGTTATTTAAATGGAAAAATTTGAATGTAATATCGGTGTTACACTATGCAGAAAAATATTAGGCTGTTGCAAATTTTTATGCAAGTTCATTATTATTGCCAGTAACAATAGTGTTCAATAAAGTGTATATAATATTTATAGTATCCAGAAATGTGATGGAGAGAGAATTAAACGTTCATTGTATTCTGACAATCGAATAACATTTTGACTGAATCGACTGAATAAAACTATACAGTTTTTTATTTTCACGTATACTGTAACGTATGTGTACGCAGCTATGAAAAATTTGTCAAAGAATAAAAAAATTATCCGTTGATTTTAGTGGTTCTATCGAACACTGACAATGACTATTGCATTCAACAATGGGATACAATGCATTAGAAGCAGCTTTTATGTTCATATTTTTTCACTAGGAGACAACTTATAAGACATTATTAGAACAATGTAATTACTTATATTTTACATAAGAATCAATCGATGGTGTTACCGACTCTTCCTATTTATGTTACACGGGTGTTACGGAATGATAATAAGGATTAAAGGTATTGTCATTGTACGTTGTTATGAACTCTATACTGTGATTTGGAAGATAATTCATTATACATTTATCTGTACTTTAATAATATAATATCAATAATAGAAAAAGTATTTGTTTCAGTATAACTTGAAGAAAGTAACTGCTACTCATGTTTATTTCACTGCCTCTGAAATTCTTATTATAAATATGACTGAATATTATGATGGAATGGGTGTGAAAACAGGTAGTAAAATGGGTTTCCCTCACTGAGTTAAAAATATTATTGACGTTTCCCTCGCAAAATATTCAGTAGGAAATTATAAAATTGTAAAACTGCACGTTACTAAGTATAAATTTCCCTTCTGCTCTAGAAGTTGGAAATGAATAAAAGTCTTAATGTAAAATTTAAAGAACCTCTACCTCGGAACAATGTTTGACAATCAACTGAGTCATTCCAATTATTTAATTTCCATTAGTTTGTATAAATAGGGTAACATTTCTTGATAGCTCTGGAAATACGTGTCCAAAAATCAAATTTCTGTGGATTTCAGTTCGCTCTAGTTTCATTCACGCTCTTCATTTTCAGACCGACTGTTTTGGAGGGTTCTTCTCATATATGTGCTCGCGTTCCGTCAGCCAGCGTGATCTCAGAAGCAATTTCGTAGAATTTCAAAGTCAACCGAAGGGAAACGTTCTTTTCGTTGCCTCCGAGATTTTCCATTTCAGTGATTGTAGGATTTGTTTCTTTACTTCCTTCCTTTTTTTTCGTACTATAAATAGAAGTCGCGTGTAAGAGAAGACTCCAAACACGCGACCTACATCGAATACTTTTACATTTTAACTCCAGCGGAGGAGAAAAAATGTGCACGGTGTTGTTGTGTAACATTTCATATATAACAGTGGAGTCGAATAAATCCGAGTAAATAATCGAATAAATAATGTTGTTCGTTGACATAGCGGCACACATTTACATCTACGAGAAAGAATGACCTCGATGTAAAAAATATGTTGGAAGAGATTTACTAAGCTTTTTAATGGAACACACGTTTCATATGAGTTTATACTGCGCATAACAATTAATTAAATACAGATTTACGTTAGATGAAAAATTGCATATCTCATTTTCTGTATTATAATGAATATATATATATATATATATAAACTATGAACCAGAAAGAAGGGAGTCACGCAGGGATTAATTAAAATTCGACTGTTGTATAAATGAAATAATTTTTCGCATTAATAATCTTCTATTCTGGAACCAATAAAATTTATTTCTTTGTTCGTATCGTTCAAATTATTCATTCCATGCTATTTCCTTTCTAAATACAAGTTGACCATGTAAGATCACATTTTCCACATATACTTTTACGTGATTCTAAGGAAATTTGCAAATTCATTGAAAAGCAAAAAAATATAAAAGAAATATAAATATAATCGAAATTGTTTTGACGGTAATATATCACGTGAAAAATATTTGCCTCTCTTTAATGTACTGAAATCATGTGGCAGCGTGATACGACCAGATAATATAATACTTAATATATAATATAACAAATATTTGAGTAACAATTCCATTAATTATCGAAAGAGAACAACACGGAGAAGGAATTTTCGGGATAACTGAAATCGCTTTACAGTCGCGTCTCCATAATTATTTATCGAATTATTTCCAAAGGATACAGTTGCAAACTCGGCATAATCAACTTCTGCAAAATGAATTTTATCCCGCTGGCCCGATGCGGCCACTGAATCGGAAAGCTTCAATTCACCGGCAGTCATCCCCTGTGCACCTTTAATTCCTTCTATCCGCGGGAAAACTCTCCTGAGACCCCCGACCAGACGGACCTTAACGAGCAGGAAGTTTTGCATAGAACTTTTGCACAAAAGCCGCTTCGCTGGCTCGGATTCTCCATTTTCTTTTCTTCTCTTTTTTTAATCCCGATTGTATCGGCTCTCGTGTCACCGGCGATCTCCCCGGACAGATTGACTTGCGCTAAATAGAAGCTCCCCTTTCACGATCGAGATCAAGAATTATTTTATCTTCGTTGATTCAAAGTAAGATTGTTTGGGCAGAGAGAAAAAGGAGAATCGTATCTTAACGGCAGTTTAACAAGGAAATGAAGGTTGAGATGCAAGCGATCAGTAAAACTTGACCCTCGATTATGGTATAAGTATGAGAAAACGGAATGAAAGGGGATCACTGTCATTTAAACGGGAACTTCAATTGGTAACGCTAAATGGGAAGTAGGTTGTTTATCTTGTATAAAACTGTGTAATTAGTGGAGTGCACTGCGATAGAATAGCGCTAACTCCGGAGGTGAAAATGTTTATGACTGTTTGTAATGAAGTCAAGTGGATTAAAGCATTACTCGTTGGTGGAGAATTAAGTAGATACATACAGAGTGGACCACAAAGCGTGATCATCTTAGATTATTCGGCTGCTAGCGGTTCGATCGGAAATTTTGTTAGCTAAAATAATATGGTTCAAGGAGAGCTTCAACATGATTCTACCAAATTCTTTGTTAACCCTTTTTTCCTAGAGTTATCAAGGTCACTTTCAGTACACGCAGATCACGAAACACTACTATCAGTTCACCTCCGGTATTATCAAATGCGAGGGGGCAAATCAATAATGACTAATACTAATCTATCAACAACTCTAGAAAGAGTACAACAGCGTGGCTTGCTATTTCTCTTTAGTAGTCTTGAAGAATCTTGCAAATCTCTTCAAACTAAGAGTTTTCTTCAGTATTTTTAGATTAAAAAAAAAATATTTATTATGATGCTTATTGAATTCGTTTCAGTATCCCCAAAAAGGTGGATGTAAAAAAATAGTAGGTTTATCTGTAAAAGAACATAAGGTGACCTTGATAACTCTGGAAAGGAAGGTTGTCAAAAGACTTGGCACAATCAACTTAAAGCACTTATTGAACCATGTTATTTTACCTAACAAAATTTCCAATCGAATCGCTAGAAGCAGAATGATCTAAGCTGATCACGCATCGTGGTCCACCCCGTATACTAGAAGGTGTTACCTATCTATGAGTATGAGCCGAAAAGAGATGAGTCCACTTGAAAAAGTAAGTTAAAAAGAAAAAGAAAATTTCTTCATTCAGAACTTTATTTTCTAGAAAATAGAATTCGAACATTTTTCAGACGTACTTGAATATAATTAATTCTGGATTCAACGGACAATGAGTAAAGTGCATTGAAAACGTAGACTGACGTTTTATCGTGGAAAATTTCATTCTCAAATAAATGTACGTCGAAAATAAAATTTTATTTCTTCAAACTAGAATTTTTTCGTAATATCGGAGCCATTGACTACCCCTTAGAAATCAGTGAAAAATTAGTGAAAACTTGATTTTTGGCATTAATTATTGTAACAAATACTATTAATTATCATTGTAGATCTATAAAAGTAAATTATGTCTTAACACTTGTTATATAAATTTATGTCAACGATTATAAAATGTTAAAGAATGAAACACTGAATATTTGAGATTTCGGATGCTAATTTATAAGATAGGAATAGTGGCGGTGTAAAACCTACTAACCGGTAAATAATGTATTAAAACAAACCTGGACAAAATCGTGTAATTCGAGATATGAAATAGAATTGTATTATTTGAAGATTAAAATACTCTGGATAATTAAGCCGTTTAATTACCAAAGTGATTACTCCATTTTCAGAATTATCTTAAAGTTTAGTGTCACGTTAAGTTGTTGCTCCAATGGTATAATTTTATCAATTCCTTAAACTTTTATTTCACGAATTTAATCATTTGATAAATAAATGGTTCAATTAAAAATACATTTTAAGTGGATTAAATAGATTTGAAATAATACTGAGAAATAAAGCATGTATAGTATGACGCAGCAGTATAAACAAAATTAAGAAATAAAAAAACGTGTAACATATCAAGGAAAAAGCACGACGTTGGTAAGCAAATGGAGTATTTTCGAGGGTCTAAAATTAAGCGGAATATTACTTTGAAGTAATGCCGTAAGTTATACAGAAAATTTTAACTGCAAAACTTTCGGCGACTTTCAAGTAATTAGTATTTAGGTCGTTTAATTTGCTCTCAAAATGGGACTTGTAAACCTAAATAAAACATAACGTCCGTTTAAGCAAATATGATTGTCTGTGCTAATAAGCATAATACAATGTTTTCTCATCTCGTTTACTTCTTGTAACGAAATGAAACTAGCTTTAGTTTACTCTATCTTCTGTGAAAACAGGAAATTTTTGTATGGAACATTTGTACACAATAGGTACTTTAATTATAAAGGGAATATCAGAAGTGATAAATTTAGCTCGCATACATTGTATATATTTATTAATGCCTAGAAACGAAGTAAAAGTAATTTTTCCTAAACTGATTTTTATTTTCAATAACATATGTGTCTGGAGCTAATTCGGTTATTAACGTCGAAAAATATTTAACTAACGTGTTTGTGCATTTTTTCAATATCCACTTCTACGCTATTTTACTATCGACATACGTGGATATGGAGCTACACATGAAAAAATATCACGGTTTTCATTTATTCTTTCATGTTAACTCTTTAACTTCCTCGTTCATAGCAGATACAAACTCTACATTGGTAAAGAATAGCGTTAAACTTTACAAATTTGTTTAAATTGAAACATATGTTTCGTTTTCTGCATATATGTCAAAAGCTCTTACTATAGTCAATCGAATAGTACCAATTTTCCTTTGGTAATCAGTTGATAATAAGTTTAAAAATCGATTTGACATTCAAGAACAGTTCACGTACCTCCAAAAGAATTGTTAAATTAAGACGTGAAAAAGCATGTGGTGTTTTATTAATGTTTTGGACGCCAACCGTATTTTTCGCTCACTACAGAACATTCGAGGACGAACATTTTGTATCTATCACAGAAATGTTTCTTCAAGAACTTGCATTCACGAGAAATCGCTTGCATAGACCAGACACGTGAACGCTCGAGACGACATTCTGGATAGTGAATGGAGCGATTTGTACATTACAGAGCCAATGCTTACGAGTATTTCATCCTCCTCGAAATCCTTTGTCCGGCAGAAATCAATTTCTCGGCTTCAAGTAACGCTTTCCAATTCAATAAGTTTCCCCTATTTTTTTTCTGTCCGTTGCGATATTACCTCGTAGCACAACACGTGCTTCGAAATACGGTCAACAAATCGTGGAGTCAATCAGTGTCATCAATTATTTCGAAATAATTAAAAACAACAGGTTTCAACTTTTTATTTTTTAACTGCTCATCCAGATCAAATATTTGTGAAGCCACGAAATGGACACGTAGAATTATTTCTGGACGTATTTTCCTTTCAAAGCATTCGTGAATCAATAATATGCGATATTATAAAATTTTCTTCCCTACATTTGATTTCAATGCTTCGCACGATGAAAGTATTGACAAAACATCATGTATAAAATGCTATTAATTCTATGAATCAATTATACTGCAGTGGTATATTATGCATAACACATAATATTCTTTTGTAGTTTGATAAAATAATATAAAACGAATATTCTTATTAGAATCATTAATAACTGCAATCCAGAAAACAACTTCAATAATTGAAGGAAACCATACATATAATGCGACATATATTTTTGTGTATAACTGGAAAACTAAAAGAGATCGCTCATTGTATATATGGGAAGAAGTTGTTCAGAATGATGTCCTTGACACGATATGTCAAGGTTATTGAAATGTTGAGAAGAACACACATCTAAACATTCACTCTGTAACCGTTTGCAAACCGTTGTTTCGAATATTCCATTTTAGAGATACGTATGTCTTACTTTTATATTTAATATTTTCAGTTTAAGTTTTGCTACAATTATTCATGACATAGTAATTATATTATAAAAATTCCTACAGTTGCAGTTTCGTGTTTTTCAAATGTCGTCGAATAAACTAGCAAAATGCTATATTAATTTACCTATAGTTTAATTTAGAAGCGATGACTCAAGTTCCAAAGTGAAAAGCCGACAGTGTTGGGAAGTGCAAAATGTGAAAATAAATATAATTTGGCAATAATTTTATGTATTTATAGGAGTAAATGGTATAGGATGTGATTTGAATATTTAGCCTTGTTTAAGCTTGATATTGTCGACCTGCAGTTGACACGATCAATTATGAGAATATAACCCAACTGAACATTCTCTTGTAACATGGATTGAATGTCACAGTTATGACACACTTTAATTAAGAGCATCTGTTACGGTGCACTGAAATCACTGAATAATTTACGATTTCCGTATTTTGTAATACTTGAGTTGAACTATTATTGCGCTGCGTTATTCTCGGGAATGATAAACTATTTTCGACTATACAATTTTATACTATTCAATTTTCTTTCATCACATTTTGTTTTAACTTTAACCAAAAAATATATGGATCGTAGTAGTTGCGTAAATCACCCTGCACATTGTTTAAGGCATTGTAGCATGCGTAATAAATTAATAATAATGAATCTATTCGTTATATAATATGTGTTGTTTTTCATCACGTTTAAATGCTATATTTTCCAAATATATTTTGTCATTTAAAAAAATACACTATTATTAAAAATCTTATAAACAACGAATAACAGAGAATTAAGATATTACATAATATTCCCATTTTCAAATGAAATGAGTTTCACTTAAAAGGATTCATTTGATTCGAAATTGAGACATTGTTAGTTAACAACTTAAACATTTTGTTAGACTCTCCAAAGAAACATTTTAATTGCAAATGTTGATCAGTAGTTCATATCAAAAAACGGATAAGAGAGCAAAGGAATCTGAAAATAACAGTAATTACAAATAATTTCTAAGACGGTAGAAAATACGATTGAATCCACAAAATATAAAATATATAGTATTAAAACGAAAAAAGATGAAGTGTTCTTTATACATCGGAAATAATAACAAATATAAAGTAAAATAAAGTAAAATGTAGAATTTATCAAAATTATATATACACATTTAAAATCTCGAATATTTTATATCCACACTTTATACAGAAATATAATAAGTAATACTTATCTACCTTCGTGTTCAGTTTCAGTCGTATGATTCATCATTCTTATCGTCAGAGTTATCACATTATGATTTATAAAAATGAGATAAATTAATCATCCTGTCCGGGAAAATCTAATTCCACATGGCTATACCTTAGATTTAATTTAAAATTGTTAGTGTGAAAGAATTAGGCTAATCTTCAAGTCTAAAAAGAAATGAGTTTTTAATTTTTGTTTAATAATTTATAATTCTAAAATCACTTCTAAAATCTCTACCAAAAGACCACCATAAATGGCTCAAAATGCCAAATAGTACACAAATATTCCTTAAAACTAATAAAATGAATACTTTATCCAAAATTTTCTTTTATTTCCATTACACTTTAAGAAAGAGAACTGCATTAGAATACCATAAATTCTACATACTTAAGATAGTGCAACCCCTTCTAAATCGGACGTTATGTACACGATTCAAGTGTCCCCGTGGATCCTTTAGAAATCTCGGCACGTATCGAACCACGCGATCCACAGGGGCAGGTATAAGGAGCGTGCAGAATCTACGGGGCGAGGGTAGAGAAAGCTGGTTAAGCTAAAATATAATTCCGTACGTTGATGTTACGGCCGGGTTCGTCCTCGAGCAGCTGACGTGCGATGTCCTTGCAAGAGGTCCGTGCAGCAGGTGGCACCTTGCCGTCGTCCTCCCAGTAACGGCTGGCTGCATGCGCGTAAAGAGCTGCCGGGGTCGCGTGTGTTACCCTCGTGGTCGTTACCAATCCTGTCGATTTACCTGTAAACAAAGAAGAGATGCATCTAGAGTTTAATCGAAGAGCTTTAACTCCTTGCCCTAGAATATCGAATCGGACTTGTGCCGAAAATTTTAAGTAGATTTTAACAAATATAAATAAGGTAAAAGCACCAGTAATTAACCTGTCATCGGTAGTTAATCATTTTTAAATAAAACGTAAACAATTTTAACAGTAATAATCTTTTGATAAAGGCGCGATAGATATGCTGCAGCATCTACCAATCGAACCCCGAAACACTTTTACCTGAATTCAATTGTTGATCGTGGAAAGTAACAATTGATTTCATTGGTGTTGATGAATAAAATAATATAATACTATAAAATTCAATATTTAATATCGATCTAACATAATGAGACATAAAATGTTAAAATAAAATATTTCTGTCCTCTGATTTATATGTTATTTCTATTTAATGCAATAAGAAGTTTAAACAATGTTTCATTAGGAAATTATGAATAGCGAAAAAACTTTGGTGTGCAAACGATTAATTATTGTAACGAGAGACTGGTATATCTTAGAAATTAAGAAGTGAGGTGAAAAGTACCAATATAAACTTCAGAACATTAGTTAGATTTTTCAATTTTGTTTTGTAGATGAAAATGGTTTTATGAGGAAGTTGGTAAAAATGTGTTTGAATATATACGAATGTGATGTATGTTATTCTAACTGAATATCTTTCCAATGCTTTTAATTGAAAAATAGCTCATGCACTGCTCTGCAGTCGATCTCAAACTATATCAAAGACTAATTAGAACCATGTTATGCAATATCAACTCGATGCGAGCTCTTTATCTATGAAAAACAATCAATTCGAATGAATATTTTAACTTTTAAATTGCATAATATTTTATATGTATTTTGATTACTGTATAATTATAATTTCATAAATTCAATAGTAAGTTGGTAAAATTATACAGAGAGCACTATATATGTAAGTATATAATTTGTGTATCGATGGATAAGTTTTATATAAATTAAGTAACTTACATTTCATTAGAAACATATTTATTTCGTCAATGAACTGTTATTAATTATATTAACTTATGTTACTTTTAGTAATTCCTTGCACAGCGTCTTTGTATTAAAAAATGTTGCGAGATATTCTATCCTCTGCGCCCTTTTTTCCCATATTATAGTAAGCATTAATATTCAGCATGTTATGCACGTCTAGTTTTAATTAAAAATCTGTAACTTCGTAAAGCTACATTATGGTTTCATGTATACCAAGGTTACAGAAGTTTTAATGAACATTAAGCAAGCAATATCATTTTATCCTCGGAATATTATTCCGTGGCCAAAAACGTAAATTTAAAAAAATCATTTGCCCGGACTGCTTATTCGCGCTGTTTTCACAATTTCCAGCATATCACGGATTTAAAACTTGAACGGTAATATAACCTAAATTTAACATTTTCAGTTGATTTATTTTACGAGAAGAAATACTGAATTTATTCTAGTGGAACATATTTCAATCAATACCTGAAGTTTTCTATATATGTTTATATTTTGTTCAGTCGATTCATACAGTTATACACAGAGGATAGAATTTCTTATTAGTTAATTATTAATTATTATTAATTTAAAGATATGACATCAAATTCTTTGATGTCTCTTACATTGTAATAGCTTTCCTCTTTCTTATTAGGAATTTTCTTATAGAATAAGTATATACTAATTATCTTATTCAAAATTAAAGTAGTATAGTCGTTATGGCATAACAAAATAATTTCAAATTAGAAAATCCCATTTTTCATAAAAGCGCTTACAGAGTAGCGTAGAAATAACATATAAATAAAAACATTGGAACATTCACATTTAATATGACATAAGCGAAACAGAAATGTGATCCAATAATTTATTTTTGATAATATTATTTCATGTTAAGATTTCATAAATTATTTTCTTATTATCAATGTTTTACATTGAAGTAATTGTACATTTTACACTAACGGAGAATTTTTTTTCGTTCTTGCAAATTAGTAATAATAAAATAAATCTGATAATCATCGGCGCAAAAAAAACCGGATGACAAGGGGTTAATCCTAAACCTACTGAGTATTTTATGTGATTGATATGTACCTATTTCTTGTGAAAATATAACAGTGTATAAGTGAAACTATTAATTTTCTAAATTAATAGACATTTTGAGTTGTACGATAATTTTAATGTTAAACAGTGTAATATAAACCGTATACAACAAGAATTTATCATTTACCCTGCGTAATAATCATCGATATCGTCTAAGAACAAATAGAGAGGATGCAAACTATATTGCTCATACCCTAAAGAGCACCGGAATTAACGGCAACGCACCATACTGTTCTTCCATTACACCGCTGCTAAAATGTCGTCATAAAGTTGAATCGACACTGTCATCGCGCAACGCTGCTTCAGTGTACCGCATTTCTGCGAGGAAAGTTACGATTCGGATTACAGCACGCTTTGGTAGAGAAGGTAATGGCATCGCCGAATGCCGTGATTAGTATTTCTACGCGAAAACGCGAACCGTTTTCCTGTTTCATGAGCAAATTCGGATGTTCATCCAAGTAGTCAGATACTCTCGACAATCTTCCGTGTGTATGTTCCATGCTCGTCATTCTCGGAACACAAAACTATAATATTCTCGCGATTAGTACTCAAAAATCGGGACTGCAATCGGGTATTAATCATGCAGTGGTCTTGATTTGAAGTCGAAATGAGATCCGAATAGAGCTCCTTTGCTTGTCCTCTGTAGAGAAAGACAATGCAAATGAAAGAGCGAGATCCTTGACCTTCGGATCGAACAAAACAAACAGGCGAATGAAGGTATATTTCACGTAATGTTAAACTTTTCTATTTTCCACTTTTACTAATTGAAACTTTTTCCAATTGAATTGTAAGGTTTTTCTGATTCAAACGAGACCAAACACGATATATTTTCGAATATATTTACTAATTTAATAAATTACAATAATCTATTTTCTTTCAGTAAATTGTGACTTAAAGTATGTCATATTTGGTCTTGTTTTAACCAGAAGAAACTCACAATGAATTAGTAAAAGTTTCATTTACAAAATAGACCTTATAAAGAAGTTTTATAATTGCATTAATGTTGTCTCGCCAATATCTACCACCACTGAACAGAGAGTATCATATTACAACTGCTTGATCGTCGAACTTCGTGGTTTGCCGAGGGGACGAGGAATTTTATGAAAATAAGTATATAAAAAACTAATTAAATAATTTAATACAGAAAACATATTTAAGAACAGAAATTTAGCATTAAAATTCTCAAACAGTACAAAATTTTAGAAATCATTTTTCGTGCTTTTAAATATGTGATTAACTGCGATTTTTAATATCTTAAAAGTGGAATTGATTATTTTGTTTCACGAAGGACCCAAATATGTACTCTATAAGTTGAGAGAAAGTTTGTGTCAATTTTAAAAGGCACATCACTTCCACTTATATTAATGGAAATTTTCCCTTGAGATCTTTTTTTTGATGTTCTCAAGTTCATTGGTGTATTTTTAAAATATCATGCAATATGTAATTCATCGAGTGATCAAATTCATAATTTATTACAAACCTCTCTCAAGATTTGCTCCAAATTGGTTGAAATGTCAGTAGTTAAATAGAGGAAATATTATTTTACATTAAGTAAATCTCTGCAGTTAAACAAGTACTTCTGAATATCAACTTTAAGTAGGTAAAGGTACTAACAGAAATACAAGTTGGAAATCTCTCGCTATGTAAATACACCCTTTAATTGAAACATTGTTGGATTTCTCTGTAAATAAAGACCATTTCACTTCTCCCTTATATCTTATTACACATTATAATTGCTTTCAAATTTCGGCCAAGAATATCGAAGGAAAAATAATATATTCGGTTTAAGACATGATATATCTTCAACAATTATTCTCAATGAAAGGTTTTTAATGAGAAAATCAGAATTATAAACTAAGTACAATTTGTGAGTTGTATTTCCAACGCAAATTTATTGCAGTTAACACGGTCTGAATTAAGAAAAAGTAGCATGATTTGTTGCACCATAAATTACAATGAATTTTTCTATATCTGTAACATTCAGTAGTTTACAGAATATAAGCAACTGCAAAAAAGTTTCATATCATAGAATATAACCAGTGTTTACTTAAATCTGGAATTGTTTTGAAAATAGTATTTTTCTCGTAATAACAACCTCTTAAATAGATTTCATAAATATCTAAAGTATTTGTATCATATTTATAAAGAATATAGTGACAGTTTCTAATTTATTTACTGTGATTAATGAAATTGATAAAAAAAGATCGATGAATATAAAGACACGATTAATGTATGAATATGCTTTTTAATTGTTTCAAATATCCATCCCATTTTATTGTTTTTACCTTATCAAAACATGTATTTGTAACATTTAATTTTAAAATATACACATATTTCGGTACTATAAATAATAAAGAGAAACAGCATTGTTAAAACTACTTTCTCGTTAAGTCCATCGTCTTTGGAATTTTAAAATTATGTTCGCGGAGATCGTCAGATACCTAATCCCCGAGAAATTCAGTTTTTCCCTTCCTTGAGCGCAGCTACGATTACAATGCCAACGTTGCATATCTACGTAATATTATCGTGGGAACAACGCTACGTTATACGACCGTAAAATTCAGATACAGCCCTGAAATATACTTCTCAGCGCGTACTACCATAAAACAAAAAGTAGAATTTTAACCGTGAATTTCACCTCGAAACATTCCGTTGCGAGAAAAGTCTCAGAATTCTCCCGTAATATAATAATAACGAAGCTACAACAAATTCACAAGGACTGTTTAACCATTGAAAACCTTTGGCTCGCTGAACCACTGAGCTGTGTTCGCGGAAATGAAAGAGAAATACATGCGCCCTTTAGTAAAGCAAAGGATAGACCAGACTAACAGACAATTGAGTCGTCCGTAGGTGAAAGCAATTACCTTTTGAATGCTTTCGAATTTAACTCTAA